ATTTAGCATTCTCCCTTAAACAGTATATATTTAAAGATCAAGCTGTATGAATTCTCGATATCTTACAGCTCTCTACATATATATTCCTTATTGCAATTCTAGAATCCGGTAATACTTTAAAAGTGGTATTACGGTTATAATATTTATATCTTTTCCACAGTTAGTTTCTGCAGTTATTTGTGCCTTGAACTTCTAAGTAGCATAGGCATCATTTGTAAGGTGGTCATTCTATAGTTTTAGGGCATAATTCTATAATCACTTATTTTCACTTTTATTGATATAAACAACAAACACTCTTTCTCTTCCTCCTATTTATTTTAGGCAGGGAAAGGAGGTATATTATCTGAGTTCTCTTTCTCCTCTGTCTGTGATTCTTTTCCCTGTACTTTTTAACATTCTATGTACATTTTGTACTCTCACTCATTTCCACCGGTTTAACTCTTGGTTTTTGCAGATGATTCTTATGTTAACTTGCTTTTTTATCTCTAATCCATCATTTAGAATTGCCTCCTAAAAATTCCTCCAAAGAAAAATGCTAAAGAGAATTAGCCAGTCACTCCAAGTACTGATCCATTTTCAAAATTCCACATTTCAGTTATAGTGTTCCAGTTATCACGTTTACGACTGCCAACAGCCGTAGCTTCTCCTTCTTTATGTTGTATCAGTAGCATTATGAAAGAGCTTTATCTTCCCCTCCTTTCTAATTCCACTGATTCTTCCTCAGTAATATTATCCTACGTATGGGAATAGCTCCTGCTTTGTTGAAATAATCCTGCTAAATCTTCTGAAAACAAGACTTCGGTAATTCTGTTCATTTCCTCATTAAACATTAACATATTGCCATAGTCTGCAAAATGAAGTCTAAGCATAATGATTGTGGCAGTGAGCTGCTGTCCGTCCTCTTATCTTCTGACCCTACTTCTTTCCTAATTTATTTTTATTGAATAAAATTAAGAACATATATTTCATCCCTGTCTGGGTAACTTTTCTTTATTCTGAGTTTTATTGATGGATTCTGTCCTTAGTTTACTTCTAAAACCATAAAGATAGCAAGCATGGTGACACGTATGTGTAATTCAGCACTTCTGGTAGGCTGAGGCAGGAGGATTGCAAGTTTGAGCCTCACCTTATCGATTTAATAAGACACTGTATCATAATTTTTTTAAAAAAGGCTTAGAATGTAGCTCAGTGCAAATGTCCTATGTTCAATCCCCAGTACTGTACAAACAAGCAAACAATAAAATCATAAGAGCACCGAGCATGAGAAAACATACAAAAATCTGTTAAAATTGGAGAAATTTTTGAATCATATATTTTCTCCTGACAGTCTAAAATAGCTTTTAATAAATTGGAGCACAGTGTATTTGATCATAAACTACTTTGTTCCTTATTTTAATTATTGTTACTTTAGTTATTATTATTATTTCACTTGCAGAGTGATCCCTTATGCAGTTTCTGCTGATGTGCTAGCGAGAAGTTCATACTTTGTAAGTGATGCCAAGATTTCTTCGGGAATGAGGAAAGTCAGCTAAGCAACAAGGAGTTGTTGAAACCAATACTTAATCTGAGTGGGAGAAGTGATACGGGTGATGAACAGCTCACAGAGTAATTTCAAGATGAGATGAGAACTTGAAAATCAGTGGGAAGCCAGAGATAGGACTTACAGCAGGAGTTGATAAACATTAGGGAGGAAAACAATTTTGTTTTGGAAACACTTCAGACTGATTGCAGGAGAGAGGGCTAGAGACCAGGGAGGAGAAGAAGGGAGAAATTGCAGTATGAGTCACAGATGAAAAATTGTCAATGTAAGTGTGAGGGTTTTTTTAATAGCAAGAAAGGACTAGCATTGAAATAGGCTGTCCAAGTGGGCTCACCTCAGGGGAGCTAAGGTGACAAACTAATGTCCTGGTGACAGATGGTTTTCTGTTGCCTTTCAATCAAATGTGAAGCAGAGCTCTCTGATAGCAACTCAACAAATGTAAGGCTTTGAAATTCACTTGTATTTATTGGGATCAAGCATACATGCTTGTATCTGTAGATGCAGTCAGAGATACCTTGTAAGTCCTTGGTTAATGTATTCTCCTTTGTATTTGTAAACAACATTGCAAGTGATAATGAAAACAGCGATCATGTAAAGTTGGTATTTTTCGGCTTTCCATCTTCCTCCCCTTATGTTCAATTGCAGGTATGATTTTAGGTCCAACGTGGGTGGGTCGGGGTGGAATAAGATTTCTCTTAGCTCATAACTGCAAAGTTGTTTCATTTTCTTGAATTTCAAGGATGAGAAAACTGAGATTAACAGGACTTCCATAACTTGCCTGAAGCCTGTGGCTAATCACATGGGATCCTGAGCGCAGATTCTGATTGCCTTTCTCTGTACGCCTCTATTTAGAAATGTCTCACAGCGCCCAGGTGATCTTAAACTCTGGACATTCCCACTTCTAACTACATCATCACTGTCTTCTTGTTGCTAGAAGTTGTTAACTAGGAAGTGTATATTCCCCTCCTTTCATTTTTTGGATATTTAGCACCATGCGAATGTATTTACACTCCACTATCGTGATTTTTAGCCTCAGGGGTGAGAAAGTCACTTTGAGTCCTTTATTACTTGACCTTACATTGCCCTCATATCTCACGTAACAGTCACTCGCCAAGTCCTGCTGGTTTTACTTCTATTTGCAAACCACGAACGCTGCCACTACTGTAGTTCAGAATTAAAGTTCCTTTCCTCAGGAATACTAGAGGAGTCTGTTCGCACATTACTTGGCTTGCAGACTTTTTTTGTTTTCTCTATTTCAACTTCTACAATGCTGCCAGGTGCATTTGCTGACACCAAATTTGGTGTTACATGTTTCCATTCAGCAACCCACGGGGACTTCTGTCTAATAAATAAATCTTCTCAGCCTGGTAGTCAGAGATTTATATCCAACCAGTCCCCTACAATCCAACTACACCTCAAACATTGTTTCCTTTTACTGTCACCCATCGTGACCCCTTCTTTCCAAGCAAACCAAGCCTTTACCCATTGTCTGTATCAGATCCATATTCTTTGGCAACTTCCTCTCAGATTTTTCCCTCTGCCGTACATCCTTATTCTTGGCTCTGAGATTATTTACCTTGTCAGTTCCCAGGTGCTACTGTCTGTCTCTTCAGTATCTCTTACATCTGCTTCCTTTTCTGGCTCTGGCACTGACCTTGAGCCCTAAAGTCTTTCCCCTGGCCCGCAGTTCTCTCTCCTCTCGCACTGCTGCTGTGATCCTTGTGCTCTCACCACAATCATTTTCCCAGCTTGGAAACTTTTTTCTGCCCTCCATTTGCTGTAGCGAGTTCTTTAGTATGGCAGTCGCATCCTATCTTTGTCTTTTCATGTCTTTCTCACGCTTGTTTCTTGCGCTAGTACTCTCTTGTACTGTATGCTTTGGTCCTGTATGTGTAGTTAAGTTGTTGCTCTCAGCTAGTTTACTCTTCTGTAGAATGTTTGCCCCTCCCCTTTTCACCTTACAAACTTCTAGTTCATCTTCTAACCTGCTATTCAAGCCTGACTTCCTGAAGCGTTTTCCTGAACACCCCAAACTGAGTTGATCTGCCCAGTTTTTGTGTGTTACAATGCTACTGGCTTTCTTGGAGCTCATGCAGTAATGCAATGGCCGTTTTGCATGTATGGCTTTCATTTTAAATGGGTGCATGTGGGACTACATTTTATTCGTATTTATAGTGCTAACATGTATAATGAAATACAATGAAAAGTCATTTCTGATTTGATTGAATTGAAATAAATGTCAGTATACTCAAGCTGCTCAAAGCCTCATCCCAATGGAGTAGTGTTTCCCAGGATAGTCTATAGATGCGTCTTCTCTTCTGTCACCCCCAACTGGGCAGGATCCCACCTTCCTCTGACATCCAGATTTACACGCATAATTTACACTTGGATAACTGGGGGAAACTTTTTTCTTTTGTTTTAAGCTGTAAAGTCTGTTAGGGAAAATTTGGTTAATTATCTTTTATCTCATAACATTTAATACATGTGGTTTGGAATTATTAGGAAGAAAATAAATATGGGTAAAACGAATGTCATGCATATTTTCTTTAATGAATATTGTCTGGAACACTCAGAGAAATGGAGAATTTTGGATCAATTTATCCTGTTCATTTTGCATATAAGATAATCAGCTTCAAAGTCATTGTGCCATAGTTTCAAGTTCTTAGCACTAAGGAAAGAAAAATTAGACAAAAATAAAAGTTTCCTGACTGTAGGGCAAGGTTTTATGTATTTTCAGGTATATTACTCTTCCTCTTCAGGTGCACATTACTGTACTAGTCTTTTTGATATATTACATGGTGAATTAATAACTTCATTTTTGCAACAATAATCATGTAAATTATATTTGCTATGAGATATTTTTAAAAAGTCAATTTTCTACTTGGATAAATAGTATTTTTAAATGTGATCATAATAACACCCTGGAAAAATCTTGCCAGATAAGGAAGAAGATATAGAATGATCACAGAACAAAATCTTCACATGAAACATACTCATTGTCATTTCTAAGAAGGAACCATAAAAAGAAGCTACACAGATATTTGTTTTTACTCTTAGACTCATTTAGAAAAGTAGTGCATATGTGATAACAAATTATTTTATTTCAAAATCAACACTAGCATATTGTTCACCCACAAAAATGTAAATCATAAACAGTATCCATTTTGGCTAAGTAGTTACATTTTTACAAGGAGATAACATTATGAATTTATTTCTCTGACTTTACAAATTTTCCACATGAATACTGTGTTCATGAGTATGCCATTAATTTTTTATGGTTCCCATTTAATATAGATAATTTGTTCCTTTCTTTGTGAAAAACTGGGAATTATTGCATGTATTAAAGTCTATTGAGATAAAAGCAAGAATATGTCATTGTTTTCGACTGCATAAAATGTTGCATTCTCAGAAAATCCAAAGCATAGTTTCTAACTATCTTTTAATGTTTTCTATTTAAAAGGTGAATAAGATTTGTGGCCATCCAGTAAGAACACCCACACAAAGCCCTCCTTGTTCTTTTGATCCAAATAAAGAGAAGCACGGAATGAAGATCTCTGTAAGGAACGGCGAAGAGACGCTTGCCAACAGAAGAAAGTAAGACATTTGTTTTACAACCAGAAAGAGAAAAGAAAGTAAGCCATTAATTTTACAACAGAATAGAATGTATTCATTGAGTACACCCTGATACACAATGGAAGGAATACAATCAACATTTCTTAACTTTAAAATCCAGTAGCTCCACCTGCTGCTTCATTAATCTGGAGGATAGATTCAGCTGTAAGACCCATAAAAATTCCAATTATAATAGAAGTTATCCTATATTATATTATGGCAGATTCAGGCACATGAGATCATTGTGTATTTAAAAGGATTAATACGACTGAAGACTGAATTTTCTGGTATTTGTAATCTAAATTCTACAAATGACGAGTGGTGACTGTATTGGACAGTGTAAGACAAAATACATTTACATGATGTGATAAGTATAGCTGAATATTTAGGATCTCTTAAATATAATTGGATAACTAGAAGTTTCCATACTCTTTACCTGCAATGAAGAAAATGACTGTTGATGCAAAATTATAAGCATTGATTAGGGCTTGCTCCTATAAATTACTTTTCTGCTACTATGCCCGTCATTATTTCACAGTTAGATTAAAGCCTTCATTGTGTTCCTTTTCTTAATAGTTGGTGCTTAAATTCAAAAACTCTTGCAACTCGAGGAAATGTGACACTTATATTTAATAAACCCATGTATGCCCCAGAAATACTAGGTTCTGAGTGTTTTTTGAACTGAACTGAAATTCAGAATTTTATATATTTGCTTATCTGTTCAAATAATCATTTAAAATGACTTATAGAGAATTTATACCTGAAATATTTTATGTACTGTAATCTCTATTGGCTAAAATTGGTTTCTTTCCTTTTTGGAGAGAGCACATCGCAGGTCTTATTCTCTTCTCAGATGGTCTGTAAGCATTGGATCTGGAATGGGTCCAGTGCTAACAGCAGAAAAGAACTGATGCTTTGCAAGCAATACAGCTGTTCTTTTTTTCTTTTTCTTCTAAACACCTATAATGAATGATCACCGGTCATTTCCTGCATTTGAAAAATCTGTGGATTTTGCCTAGGGTGGTTCTTAACAACAATAACTACAACAACAACAACAACAATAATAATTACAACAACCACAACTACAACAACCCTAGCTGAGGGAGATGTTCGGTTCTTAAAGAGCATCTATATTTCAGGACCAAAACAACCTCTTTGAAAAATAAAACAAAACTCAACACAGCATTGTTTATCCAGAAATAAAATAAGCAGCTACAGTTGAAATGTTACAAAATGGCTCCAAGCAATGAGAGGCTTATAGGAGTGGAAAGTTTTAGAAGTAAAACTGGCCACTGAATAGAACCCCTCGGTACAGATCTTGCAGGTTCACTCTTCTGTGTCCCGCGGCAGTCAGCAGTCATCATCAGTTATCCGGTTAGCATAAACACATCACAGGTCTACACTTGTATCATCCAAAGTACTGTATACAACAAGGAAGACTACATTTGAGCCCATTTAAATATTTCTTTTTAAAGTACTTTCTGAAGTATGCTACTTTTTATCACTATTAAGGAGTGCTTAATTGTCATTGCAGCATATTTTTGCTTCTTGTCTATATACTGTACAGATCTATCCATATGCTAGCTCTGAATTTTAGTTATCCCTCATCAACTGATTGTTCCCTAAGAGGTCATAAATTTCCACTGAAGTAGGCGGGATGATACAGCTGGAATACATACGGGGTCTGGGTTGCATTTTTATGCATCTTACTGGTGTTTGTCTACTCTCTTGAGCCAAATTTTCAGCAGATCACTTCCACTTGATAATCTACTGTTTCTCTATGAATATAATATAACAGCCTGGCATATCAGACAACATTTAGTTCATCACAGGCTTCTCAAGTTACATACCTAGTTCTGTGATTATCCCAAATGTGTAGTTGCTATGCAGGCTTGGCTGTAGCCAGCTTAACTAACCAACCAACTGGCAACCAAACCAAATGAGCAATTTCATGCATTGTTTCGTAGATGTACTTGGGTCATCTAGCTCAATGTTAGAGCCACTTGCCAATGAGCAAGCAGCAGAAACCTTTCTGCCTCTCATAAAACTTTTGGGGGCTACTCTATAGATAGGCTATCGCAACACACTCAGGTATGTAATTCTTTTCTTGAATATGCAATGGGATACAGAAAGCACTCTACTTCTTCCTGAGTGTTGGCTCACCTTAGGTGTAGAGGATATCTCAAGAAAACCCAGAGCACATTTAGAAGCCCTGATGAGTTGTTAAGCCCCTGAAATGTCAATATTTTTCAATACCAGAGGCATGTCCATGTGTACTAAGTCATCCAGAATGATGTGATCAATATGTTATTGTCAACATAGTGTCCTGCAAGACGTCTAGACAGTCCAGGCGCCTGTCTGTCATGGGCTGGGAGAACTGCCCTGAGGTCTAACAGTGAAGGGACACTGCTCTCCTTGACAGCTGAAAGTTAAATATTTTGATTTTCCTTAGTAATTGGTAATAACTAAATGACCCACTCAAATCATTAACTAAACAACCACCTTGTGTAGTTTACAAAAAGTGAAGCTAAAAATGTTAATATTTCCCAAGTTAATTCCTATAAATTAGTATTCTATGAATGACAGTTTTAGATATATTCATTTTTTTCTTGCTTTGGGCAAATCTCACGGTACTACGGCTATTGAAAACTAATTTCTATAATTTAAACTAAATTAAACTATTAAAAGAAAGTTGTGGAACAATAATTTAGCAGTTTCTGTAGTTTAATATAGTTTCTGTGGTAGCTGAAAAATAGGCATAATAAAATGCACTGGTGACTTTACTAATGCAAATAAAAACAAATTTATTTTATGTTTGCTAAAAATTTTAAGTAAGCTATAGTATTTTTGAATTATATGTAGTGTATATTTAGCATATTATGCAATTTTGCTGTTTAAAATTATATGAATGATGGCACTCTAACGTAAAAATTTGTTTTTACATTTTTGTGAGGGAGGAAGAGTTTAACTTACATTGTCTTCCAGTATTAAAATAAGTCCTTGCAGGTTATATTAATATAATTGAAGGGGTGAGAAAAATGGCTTCCCTCTTCTCTTTAGTCCTGTGGCTGGGATATAGATTAACATAAAGAAGATTAACAAGAAAAGAATCACTTTAGTTATGTAAGTAGTCCTGCAGCCCCACAAAATCTGAGAGTCAAAGAAGGGCCAGATAACTGAGTCTATGCAGATAGATCCTGAGTACTAAAAATAATAACGGCTTGCGGCACCTACAGGTGGTGAAGATAAGTTATGAGAAAGTGAAAGGAGAAAATGTATGGTGAATGAAGATTGCTTATTTACTAAGGAAAATTTCCTTTAAGTGTACAAATTTCTTTTACAGAAGGGGAGCTTTTCAAAGCTGTATGTGTATCTGTAATTTCTCAAAATATCCAGCATGAAGTAATCAACAGCAAAAGAGTTATAGTTTGGGGTGGTATATTCTTGTCTCTACAGTCATATTTTGGTGTGGTTTGTCCTACATCCTAACATAACCATTGTTGACTTATTATTTCACCTGCTTTTGTTTTGTTTTGACAGCCAACAGTATTATGATGATTAATTAGTCTGGGGATGTTTAGTTTATTTTTTAAAAGTCATATATAATATTTGAAGTTGGTCCTAGGCAGTCATCTTGCTTTTTGTTTTCTTTTACTCCCTATCTTTTCTTCTTTATCCCTTCATTCTTGTCTTGCTTTGAATTAAACAGATATTTGTGGGTTTTATTCTTTTATATCTATTTAGGTTTGTCTTTATTTTTTAATTTGTTCTGCAACTTTCACTTCATTGAATAATATAAGCAATTTAGAACAGACTCACTCCATTATTCTCTTCCCATTTTATGCTATTATATCAGCACATATCTTACTTCTACTAATGTTTTCTCAGCCCTGAAGACATTGTTATTGTCCTTATTTTTAGATAGTCAATATTTACTTTTATTTAGTCACATACTATATTTTCTCTGGTACTTGCTTCCCTCATTTTCACACGTCTATCTAGAATAAATATCTTTTTTACCTTAGTATTATATATCTTTCACTGATTTTTTTTTTTTCTGGTGGTGCTAGGGATCCAGCGAGGGCTTTGCATATGCTAGACAAGCACTCTACTAGTGAGCTACACTCTAGCCCTCATTCATTATTCTTAGCAATAAAGTCTTTCAGCCTTTGTTAGCCTGTATTTCACTCGATCCTGAATTCTAGGTTTTTGTCAACGTACTATTTTTAAAACTATAAATATCCAAGCCATAATGAAGTTCCTAACATGACGTTCTGTGTAAGTATCATAATATAGAAAGTTTCATGGAATGAATTTAATGAGTGATAACTAAGTTGGAAGTTTCAGCCATTGTGTGCTATCCACTTCGCCTTTACCTGGCCACTTTTTCCTTCCTCCTGGCTGGTGTATCCTCACTGCTGATAACTCATGGCTCCTGTATTTTATGGGAAATTGCCTTCAATAAATAGGAACCATCTGTAGCCCTTATCTATTGCTACCTAACAAATCACTCTGAAGCTTAGTGCTTAAAGCAACAATCAGCATATATTATACAGTTTTCTGTGGGTTAGGAATTTGAGAGCTGATTAGCTGTGGGATTTTTGGCTGAGTCCCTAGGGAGTGTGCTGTCAAAAGGCTTCAGTCATCTGAAGACCTGGAATATTGTCTCGCAGATGGTTCAGTGATGTGGCTTTTGGCAGGAGGACTCTGTCTCTTATCACAATGACCTCTCCAAAGAGCGTCCTGAGTGTTCCTACATCAGAGTGACTGGCTTCCCTCAGAAGAATATTCTTATGATCTAGCCTCAGAAATCACACACTGTCATGACTACAGTTTCCCATAGGCTAGACAGCTCAGCTTTTTTCAGTGTAGAAGGGGATACACAAAAGCATAGAAAGGAAGATCCATAGTTGGGAGTCACGTTGGAGACCAGCCACCACCCATCTTGTCTACCTGGAGGAGAGGGTTAGAGTCTTTCAGAC